CTCTAGCTACATGCTAGTATCACCTTCACCCTGAATCACAATTATTACAATAAAAAATGTGTCTAGACACTGTCAAATGTCCCTTGTGATGGACAATTGTCCCTAGTTGAGAACCATCTAATCTAAATAAATGGAATAATATACTATGTTCATAGATCAGAAGACCCAATATTTTTAAGATATTGATTCTCTAAAAATTGATCTATATACTCAATACAACTCTAACCAAATACCCAGCAGGTTTTTTGTCTACAGTGAAAAGTGGATTCTGAAATGTATATGTAAACACAAAGAACCTAGCACAATGAAAACAATTTTAAATAAGAGCAAAGTTAGAGGACTTAACTACACTGTTTCAATACTTATAAATCTACAATAACCAAGTCAATGGGGTATTGGTCTGAAGAAAACTCAGTGGAACAGAATAGAAAATCCAGATATTGACACATACACACATATGGTCATTTAATTTTAGCAAAGGTGCCAGGGCAATTAAATAGAAAAAGGACAGTGTTCTCAACAAAGAGTGTTGGAACAACTGGACATTTATGGGCAAAAGAAAAACCTTGATCAATAACTTGTGTCATATACAAAAGTTAACTCAAAATGGATTGTAGGCCTAAATGTAAAAACGCAAAACTATAAAACTTCTAGAAAAAATAGACTATTTCTACAACCTTGGATTAAGCAGTGATTTCTTAGTTATGACATCAAAACAAAACACATAGAAGAAAAATTTGATAATGTTTATTTACTACAGCAAAATCTTAAAATTTCTGGTTTTCAAAAGACACTGTTACTAAAATGAAAAGACAATCTACATATTGGGAGAAAATATTTGCAAAGTACATATATAATAAAGACCTGTATTTAGGATATAGAAAGAACCCCAAATGTGACAGTAAAAAAGCAAATGACTCAATAAAAATAGGCAAAAGATTTCAAATCCAGACACCAAAAATGTATGGATAATAATCAAGCATATGAAAAAATGCTCATCATTAGTCATTAGGTAAATGTAAATCAAAACCATCGTAAGATAACATTTCACACCCACTAGAATGTCTATAATAAAAAAGACAGGCAGTAACAAGTGTTGGAAAGGATGTGGAGAAATGGAAACCTTCATACATTGCTAGTGGGAATGTAAAAGGTACAACCCCTTTGGAAAACAATTTGGCAGTTTCTCAAAAAGTATACCTAATGTTCTACTCCTAGAAATTTATCCAAGAGAAATGAAAGCATACATACACACAAAGATACACTCACAAATGTTCATAGAAACCTTGTTTATAATAGCCATAAAACTGAAAACAACCCAACTGGTGAATTAATAAACAAAGTGTGGCACATCCATACAATGGAATACCACTCAGCAACAAAAGAAAATGAACTATTGATACTCACAATAGCACAAATAAATTTCAAAATAATTATGCTGAGTGAAAGAAGCCAGACAAAAACAAAGAGTACATATTTTGTGATTCCATTTATATGAAATTCTAGAAAATGCAAACTATCGGATAGTGACAAAGCAGATCAGTGGTTGCCTGTGTATTAGTGGGGCATGAGGGAGGATTCATAAAAGGGCAGAAAGAAACTTTTTGGGATGATGGATAAGTTCATCATCTTAATTGTGGTGATGATTTTGCAGGTATATATAATATATATGCTAAAATTTTCAAATTGTACATTTTAAATTTGCCCAGTTTATTGTATGCCAATTATATCTCAATAAAACTGTAAAACAATAACAAAGAGATGGCTAGATAGACATAATACAGTAGTTCTAGTCTGATTTTAGAAACTTACTGAATCTTCTCTGAAATCATTCTCCCCTGACAGTTGTCCACAGGTTCCAGGATATCCACCAAAATGGAATGTGCCATCTGCCAGGCTCCAAAAGCACACATTGAAGCAGATGGCCATCATCTGACAATTCACCTAATGGTTCTTTTTTTTAATAGTTGTATACTTGAAAGGGGATCACTTTGCATTAAATCCTCAGAGAAAATTTCTATCACAGCACAGGATCACCCAAGGCCATAAATCAGCTTGTGTCCCTCTGCTAAAATTTCCTTCCCACTCAACCCAGCTTTGTTACGTTATCAGGACAGGCAAAAATTCATCTTCTGGGTGAAGCCCTCTCTGATCATCTGTCTCTTAGCACCATATACTGGTGCCACTAACCACCTGGTCCATATCGCCGGCATGTAGGGGTTGTAATAAGGTCTCCAAGCCCACTTCCCTACCCCAATCACGAATTTTACCTAAGGAAAATAAGCTGGCCATTTGGAATTTAAACTTTACAATGAAGACAAAGTGATGCAGAGAAGAAATGTTCAAACACTTGAAACAAACATAAGGATCCCCAAACCAGGCTATAATTTGATTGAAAATACTAGCATATCAGAAATAGGAAAAAAGTTGTACATAAGAAAGAAGGCTGATCACCAGTGGACACTTACTGGCCAGGGAAGAAAGAATTCATTTGTATCCTTTGATACTTTGTTTGAAGACAGCAAATGTTTAAAAATTTAGAATCCACTGATTAATTCCTCTTGCTCTAAATTCAAGTTTCACAAACAACCTTTCGGTTGTAATTTGGCTCCTAAATGTGGCAAGTATGCCAAGAAAGACCTCACTGGAATAACGAACAAGAGTCTAGTCTCCTAAGATGTTAAAAGTTTCATTATAAATGAGTAATTTGCCACTCTGGGTTTATATAGTAGTCCTGTGGATTTATCAGTTTAAGAAACAGACTTGACAAGTTAAAGACCAGATTTTGAC